AGGCCTAAAATTCTGGAAAAGAATTCTCACGGTTGTCCTCTGGCTTTTTCCCATAAGATTATCTGACATCAGTTAGAAGCTAAGAGCTTATTCACTCCACATGGGTAGGAAATGTCCTCTGGGGACAGTCCCTGGGTCCTGATGCCTCAATGACAGGCGAGGTACATCCCAGAGGCTCCGACGGCTTATTCTGTACCCAAACCCCAGCCAGAAACCCGGAGGAAGCTGAGACCCCCCCCCACATGAGTACATCCAACCATGTGGCTAGGCCAGGATTGCTCGGGCATGGGCTTGCTATCATTACAGTAAAAAGGGGGAAAGGCCAACAAACAGAACAAACATTTTATTACACTTTAGGTGAAAGGTGACATAGTACATTAATCTTCTAGTCGACAGTGGAGACACACATGGCTCTGTGACATTGGGTGCCGCCCCTGTTTCCTCTCTGGCTGCTCCGTTTCCGTGATCCCCTTTCCCTGCCGCCTGGGTTCCCTCATCCGTGGTTTTAGGCAAACATGGCCGTTGGAGTCTGGTACAGTTGCTTGTTCACGGCGTCATTGTTTGTTTTGTGGGCCCATCTATCATCTGGCTGAAAGGTGGCTTCCTGTTGCAAGCTGGAAGGGTGTCTGAGGGCCGCAGTCTGGGGTGGGTTTCCCTTCATTAAGAACACGAAAGATTGACAAGGAACAGGCCGTCCAGTAGGGGGAAGTGCAGGCAGGGCCTGGGCGTTTTAATCAACCTGTGATCGTTTCCCTTTAAGATGTCAGGGCCACTGTTTTTGAGGAAGGTAGAAAAGAGAGATGGTTCAAGGTAAGACTTCACACGTTCTTTCCATGTCCCCACTTGCTTGTTTTCCTGTCCCGCTTACATTTTCGCTGTGATTTCTGTGGTTGTGGTTGTTGTTATATGCCATTGAGTCCATTTCAACCCCAGGTGACTGAGTAGATCTGCCCCAGGGGGTTTGTTGACCCTGATTTCTGCAAAAGATCACCAGGTCTTTCTTCTGTGGCACCGCTGGGTGGGTTCAAACTGCCAACCTTTCCGCCAGCAGCAGAGCCCTTAAGTATAGTGTACTATTCTCCTTCACTGGGCTCTACAGATGGTCATATATCGATCTGGGGGGGGGGGCAGCATTTTATATGTTGAAATAATTATTCCCACAGTAGCACCATCATCACTCAGAGGATGGATTTACTGACATTAACCATTTTGAGGGGCTCAAAAGGAGCTGTCCAAAAAGCCACAATGGACTCCAAGTAAGGTTTCTATTGTGGTTTTTATGTGAATTCTTTCAAATTTAGAATATAGAGGAATATAAGAGACTTATTTCCCAGGTTTTCCTGGCTCTGAGCACCATCAGACATTTAAAACTAGAAATGGACCCAGGAGCTAATCGGTCCGCTATTTCAGTGACACTCATTGCTTACAGCAGGGTTCCGTCTGTTTTATCCTCTCCATTCTTAGCTAGCCCTCCCCGCCCCCCCCCACCGCCCCGCCTCCCCATGCTGCTCTTTCCTATAACATCTGTTGCATTTTAGTGCCATCTGCTGGCCATGATGTGGAAGTGCTTTCACCTCTCTAGAAGTCTTGGAGTACTTCCCCCAAGGTCTTTTGGTTTCAGCTCCTGTGTCCATGCGTTCTCCTGTTGTGTGTGTAATGGTTGCATTGTTGGAGCCTCGATACTCCTGGTCAGCACACTCACTCACACTCTCCGCTTTGTCTCCTTGCACCAGAAGCCCTGACCTGCTGCAGTCGGACGTTTCTTTCACCATGGGAGGGAGGCATTCATCCACAGACTCCAACAAGGCCTCCAGCGGAGACATCTCCCCTTATGACAACAACTCCCCAGTGCTGTCCGAACGCTCCCTGCTGGCTATGCAAGAGGACGTGGCGCCGGGGGGCTCAGAGAAGCTTTACAAAGTGCCAGAGCAGTACATGCTGGTGGGCCACTTGCCATTGAAGTCAAGAGAAAGTTCTCCGGGACCGAGACCTGGGAAAGGTAACTGGAGCGAGCGGGCACTGGGCCCAATCCCAGGGTCTGCCTCTTAGATAGGGGGTGGCGTGGGGCCCTTCTCTTCTTCCCTTCATTTGTATGTCTCGGTACTTCCATATGCATTATTTGCACACTGGTGAAGCCCCGACTCCAGAGAAAGGAAGATTTGCAGAGCCCAGGGGGCACCATTTTCCAACATCTGGGAAGCTAACCACGCAAAGGAATCCCTGGTCAGTGGTGGATGGGGGCAGGTTCAAAGCATTAACTTGCTGGGCTGCAGACCAAAAGCTTGCCAGTTGGAACCCATCCAGGGGTGCCTCAGAAGAAAGGCCTGGCAATCTTGCTCCCCAAACTGCTCTTAGTAGTGAGCATGTTAATGGTTTGCACCACCCAGGGATGATCGTGGGGCTTTGCAAGAGTGTAGGAGAACCAGCAAAAGGGCATGACGCTGGAAATACCGTGGACAAAGGAGATTGCCTGGTGAATACACGTGAGAGGCTGAAGGGAATCTGTTGCTGCCACAAGCAGAGTGCCAGGTGCCCTGCTATCCGAAAGTAGAGTGTTCCCGTGAAACCGTCCGTAGGCTGAGAGGGCAGAAAACAAAGTCTCGGTTACCCTTCATTTCTCAGCCTACTGCCTTTGAGTCAATGCCGACTCACAGCGATCCTACGGGACGGCGTAGAACTGCCCCTGTGGGTTTCCCAGACCGTCAGTCTTGACAAGAGCAGACAGGCTCACCTATCTCCCAGCAAGCAGCACTGCATGAGACCCTGCTGACCTTGTATTTAGCCGTCCAAGTTGTTACTCATAAGAAAAATCTTTGAGCATTCCCAGATACAAAAAATAACCTACTAAATCATAGCGAATAGCACATCAAACCTAAAATAACACAAACAGCGCTCATAGACCCAGTTGCAGGCTAGGGCAGCTTGATGCTGTGAAGCCAGTAGTCATTCTCAGGGAAAGCGCAGGAGGGGGGGTTGCGGCGCTGCTGCCTCTTAAACAGCTCTCAGCAAAGCAGATATGAACTACTGCTGGTCTGTGCTTTAGTCACCCAAAATCCTGTTTTAGATTTCTTTTATTTCACAAAAACAGGTCCTCCTGGGAGTCTTTTGTAAAAGTCAAGTGGCATAAGGCAACCTTTGGAAAAGTGAGGGACACCTGGCCTCCAGACTGTGGAATCGATCGTTGTTCTCCCTCTGTCTCGGTGTCAAGGTGGCCCGAGGGGGAGAGGGCTGCCACCACTGTGTGGGTGTTCTCTTTCAAATGACCACAAGCCCAGAGGCTGAAAACAACATGAGGCTTTAGCTCAGCGTTCTGGTGGGAAGAAATCTAAAATGGGCCCGCAGGGGCTATATTTCTTCTGGGGGCTCTAGAAAAGAATCCACATCCCTGCCTTTTGCAGCTTCCAGAGGCTGCCTGCACTTGTTGGCTCGTGGCCCCTTCCTTCATCTTCATAGCCAACAGGCTGTGAAGGTCCAATCCTAGCCCCTTCCCATCCCATCCCTCGGATACTCACTCTTCTGCCTCCTCTGTGGAAACATGAGGCTCACTTGGATGTTCTATGACCATCCTCTGATGTCACAAGTTCTTTCTGATGTCATGCATTCTAAGGTTCCAGAGCTCAGCCTGTGGAGATCTTGGGGACCATTTTAAGTCCCACTTGAGAAACAGCTCCTGTATAGCAGGCCCAAATGACACAGTGGTGTGTCTTCTACCTAATCAAAAAAAGACTGTTTTGAACCGAGGCGATGTTCTGCTCAGCCCTTTTTGTGGCTTTAATCCCTGAACTTTACTTTGGTATCATATTTCTCCCCAGATATGTCGAGGGAACCTTTCAATATCTGGGGGACTTGGCATTCAACATTAAAAAGTGGATCCAAGGACCCAGGAATGACAGGTGAGCTATCTTTTATTTTGTAACCCAGATGAATTATACAGGCATTTGAAAGTTTAGTTGACTGTTTACCTTGGTATAGATGTGATACAAGGACGTGTTTGTCAAATACCCAAACCAAGCTCACTGCCAGAGAGTCAATGCCAGCTCATAGCGACTGACCTCATGGGACAGGGTAGAATTGTCCCTGGGAGCTTCTGAGTCTGCAGTGCTCTAAGGGAATACAAAGCCCTGCCTTTCTTCCCTGGAGCAGCTGGTGGTTTCGAACTGCTGAACATTAGTGGGCTCCCCACGCTAGCACTGTCAACCTTGGGCTCTATTCATGCCATTCCTTGTGAAAAACCGCAGAATGAGCTAGACATGGGGGAAGAGTCCAGGGGTGGGGTTGGGGGTGGGGGGACCATCTGTATCTACAAGCCAAAGAGTGCCCTGGGCTTCCCACAAGGAAGGACCTACCTTAAAACGGACACCCTGATTTGAAAACACCGTCTGAACCCTCTGTCTCATAAGAAATGTAGCTGTATTTTGTTTAAACTGCTCTTCTATTATAATTCTGAGCCCCAATCATTTTGGGGTGGCTCTTACACCTCTTCTCACAATCCATACATCCATACATTCTGGCAAGCACATTCGTAACATGTGTTGCCCTCATCAATTTTAAAACATTTTCTTTCTACTTGAGCCCTTGATATCAGCTCATTTTCACCCTTCCCCCGCTTCCTGCCTCACGAACCCTTGATAATTTGTAAATTATTATTATTTTTTCATGTCTTACACTAACCAATGTCTCCCTTCACCCACTTTTCTGTTGTCTGTCCTCCTGGGAAGGGGTTATAGATAGATCATTGTGATCAGTTCACCCCACCTTCCCTGTTCCCTCCTGGTATCGCTACTCTCATTATTGGCCCTAAGGGGACTAACATATCTGTCCCGGATTCCCTGTGTTTCCAGCTCTTATCTGTACCAGCGCACATCCTCTGGTCCGGCTGGATTTGTAAGGTACAATTGGGGTCATGCTAGTGGGGGAGGGGGAGGAAGCATTAAAGAACTAGAGGAAAGTTGTTTGTTTCGTTGGTGCTATACTGCACTCTGACTGGCTCATCCCTTCCTTGTGACCCTTCTGTAAGGGGACGGCCAATTTTCTACAGATGGGCTTTGAGTCTCCACTCCACACCCCCCTCATTCACATTCACATTGATATGAATTTTTGTTCAGGGCCTTTGATACCTGGTACCTGATCCCATTGACACGTCACGATCACAACATGGCAGTGTTGAATTTCACCAGGTACAGGGTAGTTGGCAATCCAGAACCTTGGCAATAAAGTTGTTTCACTGTTTTGTTTTTGATGGGAATAAAGTAGTTATGCCTTCGGGAATGTTTTTATCGAAATGTATTTTTCTCTTTCTTTTTGGCATTTCAAATTATTAATGGATGACCTCAAATTGTGGAAAGTCAATGGCAAGGTATTAACTCAGAAAAGGCCAAAGCCATTGTCATCAACTCCGACTCCGAGTCACCGTGACTCTGTCGGATGGAGTAGAACTGTCTGATAACGTTTCCAAAGCTGTCATCTTCATGGAAACAGATGGCTACATCTCTCTCTGGTAGAGTGGATGGTAGGTTTGAACTGCCAAGTTTCTGGTTAACAGCTGGGCACTTTTAACCACTGTGCCACCAGGGCTGGTGGGTTTGAACTGCTAGCCTTTGGGGTAGCCCCCTAGTGTTTAACCCACTGTGCCACCAGGAGGCCCATTCAGAATAGGCAAGTAGGTCCAAAATCATGAAACGTTTCCAAGAATCCCGGAGTTATCAGCACATCACCTTCTGTCTTCATTTGCTAGGGTTATGGCCATAACATAAACAGCACAAGGGGGGTGCCTTCAAAGGAGCCTGCAATTCACAATCAGGGCAGCAGCTCCAGGACAGGGTCCTTCTTTGTCAGTGACACTAGGTGCTCCTTGGCGTATCTTGGCTTGTAGATGGATGCTTCCATGGCCTCTTCCCCTATGTGTGGGCCTTTGTGTCTCCCCTGCTCCCCCTATATGACACCACTCAGAAGGGCTTAGGTTTGGGACCCAGTAGACTCCCGGGTAACCTCATTCGCATCACAAGAAAAGCCAGACACTTTACCACAGAGCCCTTCGGGTAGCCAACATCTGCAAGAAGCGATGCTCTGGATCATTAGCCATTTAGAGAGTTGCCAATCAAAGCAACAATGAGCACAACCACAAGGAACACTTAAGCGGAAGTCAAACAACAAATGCCGGTGAGGGGGCTGAGAGATTGGAACCCTCATTCATTGTGGGCCAGATGGTCACATGGTACAACCGCTGTGGACACCGGTACGGCCCTTCCTTAACAAGTTAGAAAGAGACAGGCGGGATGATCCGGCAACCTCACTTCAAGGTGTCTAGCCGAGAAAAACACAGACCATGGCATGAACAGACATAGGACATGCACCCCCGTGTTCATCACAGCGTTAGTCACAAGAGCAAGAAGACAGAAAGAACCTGAATGCCCACCAGCTGATGATGGATGAAACTCTCGCTGCGTATACCCCCACCCCACACACAATGGGCTACTTAATCTCTGAAGTGTAAGGATAACGGTGAATCTGCGAAGCACCACTGAATGTGGATGAGCCTACAGTACCTGAGGCTGAGTGAAATTATTCAACCACAGAAGGACACATCTTGCATGAGACCACCACCATTAAAAGTCAAGAAAAGTTCTACACGGAGAAAGAAACCTTCTTCGATAGTTACCAGGGATGGGCCGGGGTGTGGGGGGCACTAGTACACGGGTGGTGACTTGGGCGGCACGAAAGGCGATACACTGTCAGGGAGGCCCGCCCAACAGGACCAAGGCAGGAGAGACCCCGGGAGGTCCACAAGCGCCAAAGGCAGCAGTGGCGAATACTTGGACAGACACGATCCTGCCAAAAGGGTAAAAACAAACGCAACTTTCCACTACATACATAAGTCGATCGTTAAGCTGAGCAGGCGTGGGATGCCATTTGGCGGTCAACCCAACAGCATATATAGACTTGTTGTTAGGTGCCGTTGAGTGGGTTCTGACCCATAGCGCCTCTCTGTACAACAGAACGAAACTCTGCCTGGGCCGGCAGCATCCTCACAGTTGTTCTTAAGTCTGAGCCCAGTGTTGCAGCCACTGTGTCCATCCATCTCATGGAGGGCCTTCCTCTTTTCTGGCTGCCCCTGACATGTCCGAAGTAGCCGAGAAGAAATCTCGCCATCCCTACTTCTAAGGAGCATTCTGACTAGATACTGTTCTTCAAGAACAATATATAGATCTGTAAGAGCCCAAACCAAACACCTGGGGGAATTGAGTCATGGAGCCTGGGGACTCACGAACATAGTCTCAGAGGGCATGTCCATCAAGTGGCATAACACAGCCCGCAAGGATAAATGGTTCACATCCCACTTCAGTGAGGAGTGGCTGGGATCGTACAAGCACGGAAGTGGCCATCTAAGATACAACCACTGGTCTCTTCCTGTTCAGAGCAAGCGTAGAAGAGTGAAGACAAGGAAAGGCTCGAGATCATATACCCAAAGGGCTCGTTGCTCACAGCCTCTGCTAGCCTGGGGCCAGCAGAACTACATAGTGCCCAGTTAAGACAAGCAACCACTCGGGTTGGGGTCACAAGAGAACGTCCGGCCCAGAGTGGGAGAAAAACCTTAGAACAAAATTCAAATCACAGAAAAGACAAGCTTATGGGTCTGAAAGAGACCAGTGAAACTCCCAAACGGTGGCCATTAGACTTATCATTGAAGCCAACTGGGGGAAATCACCTTTCAGCCCAACAACAGATGCGCCCAGCTGGTGAATCCTAAACACCCGGAGGAACATCCTTCTCAGTGCTAGCAATCAGACCAAACCAAGGGGCAGCATTTGCCCCAACGCACAGCTCAGAAGGCTGGATAGGGCAACACGGATGGGAGAATGGAAAGAGGAAACCCAGGGAGGGAGGGGCAAGAGTGTTGTTACAGTGAGGGGTTTTTGCCTGATGTCAAGAAGCAAAATGTGGGGAAACAAATCCATTCTGTAAACCTTCACCCCACCCCACAATAAACATCAACAGCGCAAGAAACAATTTCTTTACAAACATGGTCACATTGAGAGCTACAGAAGATGGGACTTCCCCCTTCTTTTTTCCGTGGGAGCGCACTTCAATCCATAACAGCTTCCAGAGAGGATACCCTGCTTACAGTCTCCCAGCCTGGGACAGCAGGCTAACTGAGGACACACAGGTCTCCTTCTCGCCTTTTGGTCCGATGCAGACTGTCGGGAGAGGGGAGGAAGAGTAGGAGGGGCCTAGGGCAAACTGTGCCTCCTGCCACCGTCCCTCGGGGTCCCAGTGATGGTTCCAGCCTAGCTGTCTGTGGACGGAAGGTAAGAGAGTCAGGAGGGTTGTGAAGACACCTTTGGATTCAACATCCTCTTATCTGCCCACATGTGTTGGCCACACCCCACTCACGTGCGCCCCTAATGGCAAGGGAGTCTGGGAAATGTGTTGGAATGAAAAAAGCTGACTTTGGTGGACCATGATAGTGAGAAAGTCCACCCAACGACTGCTGTGTTCTTAATCTTCTGACATCGAGTGTCACAAAGTCCTGGATGTCGTATCGGCAGGAGAGGGCCATGGTAACATGAGGACACCTGTGTCCCAAGAAATAGGCACTGCATCCAAGGAGAAGGGTTCAAACCTCTTAAGCTTCTCGGGGCCAAAAGTGTTGTCATGGGCACGTGGTCATTTTCAATGGTTGAAACACCCCCCATCCCCCGCAAGTGGATTCCCGTGGCGTCCACGGCCAAGGGTTTGGTTGGGTCTGTTTTCTCTCCAGGAAGCGGGTGGGTGCTTTCTCAGGTGGAGAGCACATCCCAGCCCGGGTTTGACCAAGTGACTCCATGTCCCGCCCCTCTCTCTGCCTTGCAGGTTCCCACGGAGACATTTTTGAAAGCAGCTCCCTCCGACCGGGGCTGTGTTCCCTCTCTCAGGGGAACCTGTCCCTGACGTGGTCTCGGTGGCCAGGGAGTCCCACGGAGCCAGACCGAGGCGCCCCGGGCCTCCGGAGAACTCAGACGGCGGC